GGGGAATGATATGAATTATTTATGAAGCTATTAGCCACTTGTGGAGAAAGAATCTTCTAAACAATTTTTATAAAAAAAAATTCTCCTCGTGCCCCATTTAGTTTTTCCCCTGGTGATTTAAAGTGATAATATTATCGGATAAAAACCCTGATAAGTCCAATATCGTGGGCCATCGACTGAAAAGAGAAGAAGGGATGAGGGATGAGATTATCCACGTCGGATATTTGCCACGTGGGTGAATACCCAAGGGTCGTAGATCCAGCCACAACGGTGAACATCCAGGGGATATCGACGGTCCAGTAGTGATCCTTCTTGCTGATTAATTCAGATGAAAAGTACATTATCCCTGACATTTACATGGATTCACCCAGAAAATCATTTATAATTACCTATCACCTGATCTTTTTTTTATAAAAAAAAAAACTCATTGAATTGACCAAAAACTACATTTTTTTCTGAAAATTCCACACTTTAATCAATTTAATTATTCATTAGATGGATTAATGCATTTTTATTCTGCATGCACTAAAAAATTATCTCCAAAGTAAATAAATTAACGTGCAATATAAATTTGTATTGAAAAACTAGAAAAAATTGGTTGTCATAACAATATTTTACGGTCTCAAGAAAAAGTGGAATTCAAATAAATTGAAAAGAAAATAATGAGTTACGAATTATGAATTTGTTGTTAATAAATAATGCAATACCTAACCAAACAGTGAGCAGCAGTCAGAACGAATCTTTCGCTGATGTAACTGCCTCCGCAGTGATGATGATCATACGATCGCTTCCGGATCGAGACCTGGAGGAGTCAAAACTTTTTATGTCTGAACACAAGTACTCACAAGGGTAATTTACTATCGATGGAAATGACTTAATATCAGTCGCAAATCCACCGACTATTCTCCGCTCTCCCAGGAGTCGATCCGCAGGTGTCTCTAAGGATGGCGGGTCTAATGAGCGACTCGAACTACTTGTCAAGTAACATAATTGAAAGATTCCCAGGAAGAGCCCCAGTGAGGACATCTCAACACTTATCCTTTGGTATTATAATTCTAATCGATTTCAGATCGTGTTTTTTTATCCAATCATTTATTCTATATTTGAATTCGAATTTTCTACTGAATTTGCAACGAAAAATTCGCAAGATTGGGAGATTCAACGCAATTGTTCGTACACCGTAA